TTCAGAGGGCTAGTTTGAAAGACTAGGTTACAAGGCAAGCAAGCTTTTAGAGGCTAGTTAGCTGTTAGAAGGCAACTTTTGAATGGTAGCTTAGATGGGTAGCCGACTTTTAGGTGGCTAGTTTAGAAGTTATATTAGAAGGGCAGTTAGGTTTTAGAAACCTAGTTGATATGACTAGCTAGGGTCAGCTATATTTTAGAAGACACCTTTATAAAGCTAGTTTAGATGGTTGGCTAACATGTAGACGGTTAAATAGAAGGCCTGTTAGCTTTTAGAGAGCTAGTCTAGAAGGCTATTTAGACTTCAGAAAGCAAGTCTGCTGGAGTTTAATGTGAGTCTCCTGGAGTTTAATGTGAGTCTCCTGAAGTTTAATGTTGGTCTACTGGGGTCTAATATGGTTTTACTGAAGTTTAATGTCAGTCTACTGGGGTCTTATGTGGGTCTACTGGAGTTTAACCTTTTCATGCATAGAGGTCACGACAGTGTGCAGCTGTTCAAAAGCTGTTTTCTTGTATATGTATGAGTTTTGATGGCATAGTTGCACATCAGCCACTACAGTGGATGCATTTTGCATCGTATCATGGACTGATATGATCCACTGATTGGCGAGCTAATGCAAATTAATTTTAAAAAAAGAATGAATCCAAGATGGACGACAGACAGCCGGAAACACCAAGTTGCTCATTTTTTCTGTTCAAAACTTCTATAAAAAGAGATCCCTGCAGGTAAGAAAAATATGCTGATCGAGTACCATCTAAGGAGTCATGCAATTGCTACATTTTCCACGTATTGATTTGATATTGGGAGGAAATTCTGATTAATCACATATCCACTAAACTGTACATGATGCATCACTGGCTATATTTCAACTACAATTCACAGGAAACAGTTAGGCTATTACTGCTGCTGTTCTTGAAAAGACTTCATCTCCAGGAACTTTTTTTGGCAGTAAATAAACTTGTTTATGTTTTAAGAATGTAACTTGTAGTTTTTGTGTGACTGTATTAATATCTTTATATTTGTAGAGCTCAGGAGCAGAGCGTAATAGACAGGCCTACAGGGCAGTGGAGGAATTATCACATTCAAGTGAGGACGCTGATGCTCGTAGCAGTGATGAGGAATGGCTGCCAGGACAGGATGGATTAACAAATACTAGCAGGAGTGAGAGTGGAGCTGAGGACACTGAGTCTGGACAGAATGCTGAAGGAGCTGAGGATGCAAATGATGGTGAAGGATGAGGATGCATCACCTCACAGAGGTCAACGGGAAAAGGCAGAAAAAAACAGCAGAAATGTCTGAAAAACTAAAGACAATGAGTTTGAGGGAGACTTGCCTCCTTTTTTTTTAGGAGAGTGGAAAGTGAATGTTGAGGGAACAGAACCAATAGATTTCTTTATGCATCTGTTTCCAGAAGGTCTGATAGATGATATAGTGCACAATACAAACCTGTTTGCTCTCCAAAAGGGAAAAGAGAGTCTTGCCTTGACATCGCAGGAGCTGAAAACATTTCGAGGAGTAATTATGGTCACAGCATACGTCAGATACCCAAGATGAAGAATGTACTGGTCATCAGAGGCAGGCCTTTGTCTGGATTTGATTACAGATGCAATTCCAGTCAACAGATGTCTTGTGGCTTTGTGCAAATTATCATAGAAAGTAGTCTCTGCACAAGTAGCAACTAGCATGCTTTGACAGGAGGTGTATGATGCATGCCACCTCTAGTCAACACACTGTGAGGATCTATCATCAGTTCAGAGAGTTGTTACCAGTGTCAGTGATGTGATTTCATTCATGTGTTAAATATGTTTTCTCCAGAAGATGCATGCTGTCCAGCTGAGTGGACATGTAAATCTGTTTCTATAGAAATGGGTTGAAAAAAAAAAATCAAGGTCAAACCTTGTTTTTCATGCTAAAGATGAATAAAAACACTTGGTTAAAAAAAAAAATCCTTACTGAAGTTATCATAGTACATGCATGAAAGGGTTAATGTGAGCTTATTGGGTTCTAGTATGGTTTTACTGGAGTCTAATGTCCATCTACTGGGGTCTTATGTGGTTTTACTGGAGTCTAATGTGGGTCTGCTGGAGTCTAATGTGGGTCTACTGGGGTCTAGTATGGTTTTACCAGAGTCTAATGTCCATCTACTGGGGTCTTATGTGGGTCTACTGGGGTCTCATGGTTTTACTGGAGTTTAATGTCAGTCTACTGCGGTTTAATATGGGTCGACTGGAGGTTAACGTGGGTTTACAAGGGTTTGGTTTGTGTCCGTTTGGGTTTACTGTGGTTCTTTTGGGATCTCCTGGATGTTGAGAACCCTCTGACCCTAGATCAGTGGCTCGTTACCATCTGCTGCCACCCAGTGGAGACCTGCTGCCGCTGCACAGCTCCATCAAACAGCAGAGTGGAGCTTACTTGGGTCGAATGTGGTTTTATCTGGATCTGATGTCTGTCTGAGGTTTAATGGGGGTCTGGTGGTTTCTAATCAGGTGTAAAATGGTGGATGAGGGTCTTTGTTTACTTATTAGAGTTTACATCAGCATGTTTTTGTGGTGAGTTTATTATTTTTGAGGTTTTTTTAAAGACATTTTTGGTTGTTTGAACAAAGAGGGGTTTCATATCGGCGTGTCTTTTTGTCCTCGTTTCCGTCTTTTCCATCCATTGTTGTGTGAAGCGCTGACAGTGGTGAGGTCAGCTGCACTGAAGCCTGCAGTCTGATGGTCTCAGGTGTTTCAGGCGCTGGACCACCCAGGTGAGAACTCTGTGATCTCAGGTGTGTTCGGCGGCAGGAGGCAGAAACAAAGAAAGAAAAAGGCCGGTTCCTTTCTGCTGAACATGAAAAGTCCCTCCGTTATCTCTGAGTGCAGCTGGAACGCTGCCAGGACACACCTGAACGCAGCACCTGAACGCAGCACCTGAACGCAGCACCTGAACGCAGCACCTGAGCTCAGCGTCTGCCGCTCGCCCGCCGGTGGTCAGCAGGTGAGCCGCACCTGAGCTCCATCTGTGGTTTTTGTCGTCCACAGGGTGAACCTGGTTACCTCGGATACACTGGACTTCCTGGTGTGATTGGTTACCCCGGAAACGAAGGTAATCCAGGTCCAGGCGGAGAAAAGGTAACAGCCAGTTAATAGTATTATTAAAGTCAGATCAAGTCACTGAAACACACCCTACTGTATTAAATTAACCTAACGAATTTAAATATTAAGGCTAAAACCCCACAGTTTTAATAACTATGGAATTAGCTTAGCTCATTTTAAATAGTTAAGCTAAGATCCTACAGTGCTAATAATTATGGAGTTCAACCTAAATTAGAACTACAGATTATATCCCTACAATAAATACATGAAACCCAACAAGTCCAAGGATTCTCCGGTTTCCCTGTGAGCAGATTTTGATTTCATTTTAATATTTGTGTATTATCTTGTGTAGATGTATTATTTTTACTGTTAGTATCACTGTTATGAGTATTATTATTTATGGAGTTCCTCAGGGTTCTTTACACGGTCCTCTTCAATTTGTGTTTTTTTTTTTTAAAATAGCAGCCAATCCAAGTAAGACAAGGGATTTAAAATCAGACAGAACATTTTTATTCTAAAAGTAAATGAGAACTCGTGTCATGCTGCTGCCTTTATACGCTTTAATAACTTCAGTTAGACTCAGATTCAAATGTCAGTTATTAATTTGAACTTTTCAGAAAAAAAGTCTTCGTCTAACTCTTGGAGAACAATTTATCACATTTTCATAATTCAGTCTTTGTTTTATTGTTTAAAACTTCACATCAGTTGGGAAAAAACTTAGAAATACACCTGAAGAAACCATTTTAATGTAAGATTTAACGCATTTTTAATCTCCTTCTGGTCTGAAATCTCATATTCTTTATTATAAATCCAACGGTTTCACTATTTTCTGTCATTTTATAGATAAACTTTAACACATTCTTCTGAAAACCTAATGACAGAATCATCACTACTGAAAATCTGAGTGTTTTTTATGCTGTATATTATAAATGTCACATATTTCTGCAGAACACTTTGTTTTCGTGACCCAGTTCTTTTCTCTTTTTTTGTGCTCAGGGTGATCAGGGAGCAGTCGGAGCTTCAGGCCTGAAAGGTTCTCGGGTACGATTGATGAAGATGAAGTGAAACTGTTGTGGATTTGATTTTCTCTCTGAGCCACCAGGGGGCGACACAACAGAACTAATGTGTCGTCATGTGGATTTTGTCTGAATTTAGCATCATGCTAAAGTCACTCAGCGTTTTCGCTTTGATTTTCAGGGTATTCCAGGAAAACCAGGTTTCCCAGGACCTCCAGGATTGCCGGTAAGAGCGACAACACAACATTCGGAGAACATTTATTGTGGGATTCAAAGGATTCGGTGATTTCTGGGCTACAGACTGTCTGCTTTAGTCCCATACAGACAGCAGTAATACAGCCAAAAAAACTTCATGATATTACATTATTCTGTGTTTCTTGTGTTTCTTCTCAGGGAATCCCCGGACATGAAGGACCAATCGGTCGACCAGGAGTCCCAGGATGCAACGGGACGAAGGTAGAGACGATTATCTGGCACTGAGGAGGATAAAATGAGCGGCGCTAATTTACAGCAGCAGTTTTAACACTTACAGTCATGAGCAAAAGTTTACATACCCTTGTAAAGACCATGTTTACTGTGACGGTCTTGAGTTTCCAATAACTCCTAGAACTCTGAACTTTCTGTGATGGAATCATTGAAACACGTGAACCTTTGGCACAAAAAAACAATCCTGCATTTTAATACTTTTACAGATTTATTGAAGGTCTTCTGGAGATGTGACAAAATCTGTTGGGTCAAAAGTAAAAATACAGAGAAGCTGAGGCCTTCAACCCCGAGAACACCAAACCTCATGTTTCCAGAAGATCATTAATAAAACTACGAAAGAACCAACATGCATGACTCGTGGGTTTCAGAGATTCCATCACAGAACATGAAGAGTTACGAGTCATTGGCGACTCAGGACTGATAGACGTGGTCCTGACCGTTGTCTGTAAACGTCACAGAAACTCAAATACAAGCTCCATTTGATTCAGGCCAGTGCAGCAGAATATGAGGGAGTGTCAGAGTCTTCTGATGGGTTTTGCTTCATTTTAGCATCACAATGCTACGAGATTTAAACCATCTGGCTGACTGGTGTCTTTCAGGGTGACCCTGGTTTCCCAGGTTACCCCGGGCCTCCAGGACCACCTGGTCTGCAGGTAAGTCGCCTCCTGAATCGGTGCAGGCTAAGCTAAGCTAACCATGTGACGCTAAAGCTAACAGTGTTGGTGTGTTTCAGGGCCGTGAAGGACTGCGAGGGCCGAAGGTATGAACACCAGAACGCTTCAGCTTCAGAAATAAAGACGAACCTTTAAGACTTTATGTGCAGCGGTTGTGTTTGGTTTCAGGGCGACACGTTCAGTTTCCCCGTCGCTCAGGACGTTAAAGGAGCTACAGGACCCCCGGGACTGTACGGAGGAAAGGTCCGGCTTCATGCTGCTGTGTTTTGTCTCTCTGAAGCTGTTTTTTGTCATCCTGGTTCTTTATAGAAATTTCTTGCCTCTTTGTGTTAATTTCACATCTCTATTTGTTGTTTTGTTTTTTCTTTTCTCTTTGTGGTGATTTATTGTCTCTTCATGGTGGTTTTGTGTCTTTTTATTGTTGCTTTCTGTTTTTTTTGTGGTCATTTAGTGTCTATTTTAATCATTTTGTGGGTTTTTTGTCTTTATTTCAGTCATTTTGTGTGTTTTTGAAGTAGTTTTGTGTGTCTTTCTGGTTATTGTGTCTCTTTGTGTTCATTTTTATTCTCTTTGTGGTTCTTTTGTGTCTCGTTTTTATGGTTTGTGTCTTTTTTTCATCATTTTGTGTTTCTTTGGGGTCATAAGATGTTTCTTTGTGTTGGTTTTGTGTATATCGTTGTGGTCGTTTGGTGAATCTTACTGTTAAAGCCTCAGGTGTAACATGTCCTCTGATTGGCTGTTTCAGGGGCTGGATGGAGAACCAGGTGAAGCTGGTCTTCCAGGATCCCCGGGACCTGCCGGACTTCCTGTACGCTTCAAACCTCCAACTTTATTTACACATTTGCAGCGTGCATTCAGTGGATTGTTTCCATTGTTGATCAGTCTGTCCAACATTTTCTCAGTTAATCTATAAAATGTCAGAAAGTGGTGAAAATTCTCAGTTTCTGAAGCTCCGATCGGGGATTGTAGACGTTTTTTCCCCCCAAAAAATACCTGATTACTGAGTTATCCAGATACTCGATGATCAATTTAATTGATTAATGGTTTTAGGTGACAACTTCTGCGTTTTGTTTTGTTTTTCTCAGGGAGGTCCAGGGTTGCCGGGGTTACCGGGAGAGAAGGTCAGTTTCTGTTTCTGCCCAGTTCAGCTTCTTCTTGTTCTTTATTTTTGAACAATGACTTTTAGACCAAAACCAGTCTGTTGGAGTCCAAACTCAGACCCCTTACAGACAGATGTACGAGGTGCAGTCAAAAGGCTCCACGAGTTTACAAAAGTCAAACACCTGATTTCAATTTGGCCGCCATCCCTGTCAAAGTCGACTCCTTGTGCAGTGTTGCTCTGCTCCCAGAGCTCCTGGATGTCAACATGACGCCGTCTGTGATGAGCTCGATCTTCTAAACTGTGTCAAAACAGCAGAACTGTAACTTGGATTTAGAAGAAGAAGTCAGAGGAGACACATCTGGTGAGCAGAGCGACGATCATGTCGGTGGGATCAAGAAACTGGAGTGGACCACAGTGACAGACAGCCGGAGTTTAGATGTTCTCATTCAGACTGTGGTCATTGTGTGCCTAGTTCTGGTCATTTTGTGTCTCTTAGTAGTAATTTTGCGTATTTGTGTCTCTTCCACTGTTTGCTTCTGTTTCTTCTCCTGATGGCAGCTGCAGACCGTCCTCTGGTCACCATGACGATCCTCCACATGTTGGATCTCTGGCACACCGTGTGATGTTTGCTCTTCGTCAAACTTTAAACTCCATAAATTCTTTTTTTTTTTTTTTACATCCTAAATTCCTGCCGTATCAAACATCTGTACCACAGATCGTGAAGTGGTGTTGCTCACATGTTGTCTGGCTGTGACGCTCCGTCCAACACAAACCATATTAAAGCCTTTTAGTTGCACCTCGTATGTAAATATAGAAAGTTCAGACTTTATCTTGTTCAAACAAGTTACTGTGTTGTTTGAAAGCTCGTATCTTGAGTGCACAGTTGTTTGAGTGTTGTTCACACGCTTCAGGATCTTGTTTGCACAAGTTAATAGTTAGACAGCAGAAGTTAGCGTCTCGTTCTAACGAGCTGAAAAATGTCCTTCAGGGTTCTGGAGACTTCAACGATTAACCAGTAATCACAGCTCAACTCCTCCAGATGTGTAACAGGCAGATGTTCTGTTTGCTTTTGTGACTTCAGTCTTCTGTTTCTGATTCAGGGTCAAGAAGGTCCCAGTCCAGTGATTCCAGGTCCACGAGGACAGAAGGTCAGCCGCCCCATGTACACTTTGGTTTTAACCCCCTGAAGCCTGAGCAGCAGTTTGTTTTTGTTTTTTGTTTTTTTGCTGCTGTTGCATTTTTCTTCAGTGTGGGATCATTTTTCACTGCAACATAAAGTCCTGCACCTCAGTGGAAACGTGTCTTTGATTGTTTATTCAGGAAAAATTCACAAAACTGGAAACAACATGTCCAACAGTTTCCCAGTGTTGGAAATTTGTCCAAAGTAGCATAAAATCGTCCAAAATGACTCAAGACTTTTCTAAAATGACTTGCAACTAGTTAAAAATTACTTATTTTTTTGTCATTACACACAATTTGAGTAATTTTGGACGAGTTTTAATCCAGTGCATCAGCTGTAGAAAGATGTTCCACCATCAGCTGGATGTATCTCCAACAACTGGCTCCTCTGTTCACTGTTTCTGAGCCGTGCTGCATGTATTTATTGATCCAGTAGGTTACAGTGTCCACTCAGTCACTTTATGGAAACACTGCCTGCAGTTCAACTCAAAAACTCAACATTTTTGTGACCTGAGTCAGTCGTGACTTCACGGTTGTGACCAATATTGTCGGATTTTTAGTTTAGTTTTTACAGAGTCTGGTTACTTTTTAAACCAGTCATGTGGAATAAAGAGATTTTGATGAAGGAGCTGACTGTTGGAAAGTTGAAAACCTGATGATGTTTTTCTGATTTTAAAGTTTTTGGTCCATAAATGGTCATTTTGCTGATTTTCTGAACAATAACAAGGGTTTCAAACTTAACGGCAGGTTTTGGGGTTCAGAGAGCTAAACCTAAAACACACTCTGTTTTTTTTGTGAGCAAACTTTTATAATATCTGCCGAACATGTCCAACATCTTCATCTTCATCTTCATCTTCATCGTCACCTCCATCAGCTGTGTTTGGTTTGCAGGGCGACAGCGGACCTCCAGGGATTCCCGGGCAGAAAGGAATCAAACTGTACGCCGAGGGATCCAAAGAACTGAAGGTGAGTCCGTCTTTGGAGCTCCCTGTCTTTTTGTTTTTACGTTTTTTTTACATGTTTAGTTTTTGTCTTTCAGGGAGAACCAGGTGAAATTGGAGACAAAGGCTGTCTGGGGATTCCTGTGAGTCAAACCGTCCGAAATTCACAGCAGCAGAGAGAAATCTCTCTTTTCTTAAATATTACTGTCAGAATGTGAGAGTGATGTTTGGTTTGTGCTCCAGGGTTTGCCGGGGAAACCGGGGATTAAAGGAGAGAAGGGAGGTGTTGGTGATCTGGGTTCACTGGTGAGATCAAGCTAAAGTAATCCTGACTTCTATGAGCAGCTCAGCCGGTATTATGGATCCCAGAATGAGGTCGGTGTTTGTGTTTCAGGGTAAACCTGGGAAGGAGGGATTCCCCGGAGAGCTCGGAGAACAGGTGACCAACATGCTACGCTAATGCTAGCTTAGCATTCTGCTCTATTTAAAGAACTGCAACAAAACGCAGATTATTTTCACAGATTTTAACTGTTTAACTGCCAGTTTGTTTACGTCACACCACAGTTATTTATTTTAAAAAAAAGATAAAAATTAATTATCTTCCACATTATTGTCTGTCTGCAGGGAGATCCCGGAGATCGTGGGTTCCTTGGTCCTCCGGGTATCGATGGATCCCCGGTGAGTACTGTCTGAGATACAGGTAGTACTACTGCAGTAGTACAGGCGGCACTGTATCAGGTTTTATTGTTTACAATGTTTGTGTGTTTACAGGGAGAGAAAGGCGATCAAGGTCCTCCAGGTCTTCCAGGAGAGGTTGGTCTTGTTGTTTTATCAGAACCTTGAAAATTTTCACTCAAGATTTGGATTTAACTGAGAAGGTGGAGCTAAAACGTGGGGGCCAGAGTCATTAATTAGAGGGTGGGACTAAAACATGGGGGTGGAGTCATTAATTAGAGGGTGGGACTAAAACATGGGGGTGGAGTCAGTAGTTACAGGGTGGGGCTAATATTCAACTTACAGTCTCTTCTTTCGATTTAATACATGTTTTCCTGTTTCTGTCAGATGGTTTGGAAACACAGATTCCTGAAGGGTCAACCTGGTGTCCCCGGACCTCGAGGACCCCCGGGAGTCCCTGGAGAACAGGGTATTAAAACGGGCTTGATGGGAGCAAGATTCCTAATTCTGCTGATTGCTGTAGAGTTTCTTTACAATCTTCCAAACAGTGTATTTACATTTAAACACTGTAGTTTTAGTGCCACAAGTATTGAAAATTTATGACCTTAATACCAAATGTTAAAGAGTAAATTATTATAATTAAATTTCAGGAAGGGATTTTCGTATGTAGATAAACTTTAGCTTGCTCATATTCTTCCATAAATGTAAGAAAAATGCTGTTGCTTCTGTTTGTAATCAGATTACTCCAGATCTGCTGTGCTGTCAGATTTATGGATCAGTTATGGATCCGATGACCTGATAGTTTAACTCGATGAATGTTCTCTGGTCTGTTTCAGGACTAATCGGGTTTCCTGGACTGAGGGGAGAACCAGGTAAACTCCACCTGTACTCTCTCTTTCTTTTGCAGCTGATTATCAATAATCTATAATCAGTAACAAACGTAACAGCAGAACGTAAGACTAGACTTAGGCTTGTCCTCTAGTGACTTGATTCAGATTGGACCTCAAAAGACTTGAGACTGAGACTCAACTTAGTTCAAAAGTCTTGAGACCTGATTTGGACTTGCCCTCTAAAGACTTGTCTTGGGCTTGGTCCAGAGGGCTTGAGCGTCAACCATGTTGGTCCTCTAAAGACGCGAGACTTAACTTGGACTTGACTTGGACTTGTCCTTTTAAAAGTTGAGACTTCACTTGGACTTGATCCAAAAGCCTCGATGAGATCTCTAAATTCTTGATTCGAAAGTGATCTATATGAGACTTGCAATATGACTTGGACTTGTCTTTGAAAAACTTGAGACTCGATTTACACTTGTGCCGACAGACTTGAGACTTGACTTTAAGGTGTCTAAAGACTTAAGACTTGATTTGGATATGTCCTCTAAGGATTTGACACTTGACTCAGACTTGGTTATAACATCTTGAGACTTGGCTTGGACTTGTCTGTTAAAGACTTGAGTCAGAAGTGGTCCAAAAGACTTGAAATATGACTTGAAATTGACTTCTAAAGACTTGAGACTTGACTTGTACCTGTCCTCTAGAGACCTGAAACTTAGATTAGCCCTCTGAACACGTGATACGTGACTTGTACTTCCTCCAACAGTCTTTATACTTGACTCAGACTAGTCCTCTAAAGACTTGACTGGACACTCAGCTTAGACTTGGTTCTAAAGACTTAAAACATGACTTGGACCTGCCCTTCAAAACGCTTGAGACTTTTCTTTGACTTGACCTGTAAAGACTTGACACTTAACTCGGACTTGTCCTCAAGACTGAGGACTTGTCCTCAAGACTGAAGACTTGACTCAGACTTGATCCAGAAGACATAAATACTTTGTGTAGTTCGGTGCTTTACTTTGTTGTTGACAGTAGATGAATAAAATCTGTTCTTTGTGTCTTGAGGTGTGGCTCCTACCGGACCACCGGGCCCCCAGGGGCCTCCCGGTTCATCTGGGCCCAAAGGAGATCCAGGAGAGCCGGGGCCATTGGTTATTGGCCCCCCGGGACAGACTGGAGTCCCAGGATTTCGTGGAGCTGAAGGAGAACCAGGAGAACCGGGAATACCCAGTAAGTCCTGTAGATGCTTTTAGATGTGGCGCTCCTCAGGGAAGCAAACTGGAGCCTCTGCAGTTTGTTTTACGAGAGTTAGAAACAAAACTGCAGACGTAGCTTCATAAAGAGACAAAAACAAAATCCACCTTCTAACAACAACTGATTTGATTTTGTCTTCTTTAATTTCATCAGATTTTGTGGAAGGTGAAGTTGGTCGTCCAGGAGTTAAAGGTCTCAAAGGCCTGACAGGATTACCTGGAACCAGAGGGGAGGCTGGACTGACAGGTGAGGAGGAGTGGGAGGACGGGGCAGTGTTAACTTGATTTTATATAATAAATGCTATCATATATGGCATATGAGTCCATGCCAAGTCATGTTCGATAGTCTGACCTGAAGGGCTTAAAACAGCAGATTTCTAATAGAAATTTTGAATGGGATTTTCAAGAAAAAATAAAAAATATGATCATCAAAAGTTTAGCAATTTTTGCTTGTTTGCTCTGAGCTTTGACATCAGTACTGACTTGTACTTGTCCTTTAAAGACTTGAGAGTTGACTCAATAGAGAGTGGAAACTTTACAAGTCTCTACTCTTTTAAGGACCAGTTGAAGTCCAGTCTCGAGATTTAGGAGGACCCGTTTAAGTCAAGTGACAAGCCTTCAAAGGACCAGTTCCAGTTGAGTCTCAAGTTCCAAAAGGACAAGTCTGAATCAAGTCTCAAATCTTTAGAGGACTATTCCAAATCAGCTGTCAAGTTTAAAGATTAAAAGTCCAAGTAGTCCCATCCTTTTTGAAGTAAAGCCCAAATCAGGTTTCAAGTCTTTAGGGGACAGGTCAGAGTCAAGTTAAGTCTTTAGAGAACAGGTTAGAGTTAAATCTTTGGAGGACTAGTTAAAATCAACTCTCCACTTTTAAGAGGACAAGCTTAAATCAAGTCTCTAGTCTTGAAAGGGTTAGTTCAAGTTAAGTCTTAAGTTTCAATAGGGCAAGTTCAAGTCACTAGTCTATAAAGGACTAGATCAAGTCTCAGGTTTCAAGAAGACAAGTCTATGCAAAGTCACTAGTTTTTAAAGGACTAGTTCAGCTGAATGTAAAACAACAACTCTCAGTCAAGTTTCTAGTCTTCAGAGGGTTTGTCCAATTCAGGTCCAGCTCAAGTTTAAAGTCTTCCGGATCAATGCCATGTCAGATCTCAAGTTTCAACATCATCAGAATTATTCAGTCGATTGGTTGCTGTTCACCAGGTGACAAGGGGGAGGTGTGTTTGGCCTGTCCTGTGGTTTCTGGAGAACCGGGACCTCAAGGTGAACCAGGAAAACCAGGTGAAAACGGGTTGACAGGTAAGAACCAACCGACTCTTCACTGAGATGTTTAACTGATTATCTGAGTTGTTGATCCTGTGATCGGCAACTCGGTAGCAGCTTTGCCTCCGAAAGCAAACCTCCGTTATACAGAAAAGTTAAGTTTGTTTCTTCAGCGTACAGATGACAAGCAGGTTAAACTCACCTATCTGTGATGTTGTTCTGATTCCAGGTTCAGATGGTTATCCAGGATTCAAAGGCGATGAAGGGGTCAAGGGTATCGGAGGACCAACTGGTCCACCGGTGAGTTCAGCTCTGCTTCCTGTTCAACTGCTAGAATTAGATTTTCTCTGTTTGTTAGAGCCAGTTAAACATGTAGCAGTGGGAGAATGTCTCTCAGATTACTTTTTAGCAGCTGTAAATTCTAAACGGTTAATGCAAAATTTCAGTAAACTCTATGAATGAGAGCTGAAAGTCTGAACTGTGGTGGAGCTAAATGATAAAAATTAAGTTAAAAATACTCATACAGTCGACTGCACCTTCTCTGCAAATAAGCTTTGCTATGCGTTTTTACTCTTCAGGGTCCCTTTGGTATCCCCGGCCTCCCAGGTTCCCCGGGACTCGCTGGTGAACCGGGAATCATGCAGCGGGTCGGGCAGAAGGGTGAGGACGGGGCCCTGGGGGAATCAGGACCACAAGGACTGGAGGGAAGGGATGGACGTACAGGAGTGCCAGGACCAAAAGGTGCAGTGGGACCGAAAGGAGACCCGGTGCGTATTTCACTGGAGGTTTTACTATCCACCATATTCTTTATCCTACTTCTGATGGAGGCTTTGAGGGACTGTGATGTGTTTCCATGGTAGCAAACCATCATCGGTTCCTGTTTTTGAATAACAGATGTGATCCTCAGATGTTGGTTTTGTTTGTTTTGACTCTGATGCTGCTGTTTTAGGGGCCTCTGGGGCCCAAAGGGGACCAGGGTCCACTGGGAGACACTGGCCCCAGAGGACTGACGGGACAAATGGGGCCCTCTGGACCTCCTGGTATCGGGGCTCCAGGACCACCTGGACCTAAAGGCACTGTGGGAACCCTGGGAGAACCAGGAGAACCTGGATCACCAGGTGAGTCCAGGAGGGAAGGCGGCGGAACTAGATCTTTAGACCAACTAGTCAGGTAAATTATTTAATAAATAATATTGTAGGGTTTTAACCTTAGTGTTTAAATTACTGAGGTACATTATTATTCTGTATGATATTGTTGGGTGTCAACCTTATCACTAATGTTACTCAGGTGAATCTATACAGTATATATTATTATGTTGTACTAACTTTAATAGAAATAATGTTTTAAGGGTCTTCATCTTAATATTTAAACCTGTTAGGCAGATTTGTAACCCCAGTCCTGTTTTTTGTTTCGTTTTCTCCAGAAAGCATTCAACGTCTCTTAGTTAAAATATGCTGTGTAACTGAAATGACTTGACTATCCAGAGCTAACAGTTCGTCTGTTGTTTCAGGTGAAAAAGGTTCTCCAGGGGAAATCAGAACCTCTCCAGGTGATCCAGGCGAGAAAGGAGAGAAAGGTTTATCTGGAAACCCCGGACCTGAAGGTGCGACAAAAACAAGTCATCGTCCTAATTTTGACTTTCACTGGTGAAACAGAGAGACCTGTCAATTTTAAAAAGCAGATTTGACTTCTACTAAATCTGTGTGATTATAACAGGTTAAAAAAGGAAACATCACTGATTAGACAAAGAGAAACAAAAGGAATCTCCCTGAAAATCTGTATAAAATTACAATATTTACTTGTACCTGTCTAGCTGCTGCCTCACCTGTGTTCTCTGCTGCTCTCAGGTCTGACCGGATCCTCAGGAGCTTCAGGATTTATTGGTCCAAAGGGAGAAAAAGGAGATAAAGGCTTTTCTGTCCAGGGGCCCCCAGGTTTCCCAGGAGTCAAAGGTCAGTTTCAGAGTAGTTTTGTAGAGAACTAAGTCTGAAATGATTAAAGAAAGTAATACATTTAGTATCTGGTTTCAGGACCGAAGGGTCTGCCTGGAGCTCCGGGTTTACCAAGTTTTGGCATCAAGGGTCGAGCGGGGCCGTCGGGTCCACCGGGGATGCCAGGGCCAAAGGTAACGTCACCATAACAGTTAGAGAAGGTTCTTGTCTGATTAGGAAAGAGTCTGAGCGTTAAATTACAAGTTAAGCCTCAAATCTGAATTCTCTGTAACAGCCAGCAGGGGGCGACGTCTCTGGTTGCAAAAATACGTCAGATCTTATAGAAATTTGTGAGAAAATTAGCGTCCTTCTTACTTGATCTTCTGCCTCAGTAAGCATTTCCGTCATAGGTTTCTGGTCTCAATCTCTAGTTTCAAGTTTCCTTCAATACAACATGGTGTTTATTTAGTAAATTAAAGTCTCATTTGGAAGAAAATAGACAGTAAAGTAGGGGATGTTTTAGGTTCTCAGTCAGATCCACTGTTTGCTTGCAGTGTCTGGTTTCAGAAAACCAAAATGGTGACAGCCAAAGTCCAAACTTAAAGCTTCAAAACAACGGTCCATAAATTCACAGGTGACATCACAGTGGCCACATTTATCTTTATATACACTCAATAATGTCAGGACAAAGCACCAACCTGGGACGTAGCGAATGTGATAGAACCTTGTTGAATCTGATGAGCCATTCAAGTTTGTTTGAGGTTTTTAGCTCTAGTCACACACATCAGAGCTTTAGTTAGAAACTCCTACTGACTGTAAACAGAGGTCATGTTTGCATATAAAACTGATTTTCTTCTCTTGTGGTGCTCTACCTCCAAGGGGCACAGAGGCTTTGGTTTTCCAGGCCAGCAGGGTCAATCGGGCCCTCAGGGAGAAGACGGCTCTGTGGGACCCCAAGGAAACCCGGGACTTCCTGGTATAGACGGGGCTCCAGGACAAATAGGACAAGATGGTCTAGCAGGACTTAAAGGTAGCTCATTGAATATTTGATCAGATATGATCACAGAGACAGACATTGTAGAAATTGTTGGTTGCTGGGGATGTCCAGATCAAGTTTTCTAGCATCTGCTGACACCGAGTACCAATCTGATACCATTTTCCTACATAGTACTTACTTTAAGTATGTAAGAGTTAAAATCTCTCCGATCTATGAGCTTGACACTGAATAACTTTGTAATACATTTTTTAAAAAAGCATTGCTGCCTCTGGTCTGTTCCTAAATGTTGTGTAGGTGCTCATGAACCTTGTTGTATAGCTCCATTAGGACACAGTCTGACATGTAGTGTTAGATGGTAGGATGTACTGAGGCTCGACAAGTTCCAAAAGACTGAGAAAACCTGTATTCTTTAGATGCATGACAGAAAATGTATCACAGATCAGCTGTAACACTTGATTGTTCCACCAGGGGGAGCCTCTTACTGTTTAGTACTGTAGCAACCAGTGAAGTTGGTCATTGGGACTACAGGGGTTTCATCTTGGCAAACAGAAAGCGTTGTGGGGATTTAACGAGCAATGGGCACCATGACAAAGACTTCTACATGACCTCGGACTAGAGCTCGTGTTTTTAGGACAAACTGAGGGTCAAGTAGGACAGAGTTCTTATATCTCAATGTTTTTGTGTCTGAATCATGTGTCCTTTAACCAAAACAGCAAAGGACAAATCATTGCTGTTTTATTGATCATTCTCCCAACTAATAACTCAAAATTTATTGGCCCTGATGTTTGTTTGCAAACTGTTCTCTCTCTTGATGACACCAGTGTGACAGTCGTAAGCAAGAATCGGGCTTTGGTTTGTGCCAGTACCGATCAGTTAAAACATGCATGATTTCCCTGATTCTGAAACCCTGAAACATACCCACAGTTCCGCCACAGAACCAGAATTCTTCTGGTAGAAAAAAGTACTAGTAGGTGTTTTGGTTCAAGTACAGGCAGCAGATTCTGTTTTAAGCCGACCAAACTGAGCTAAAGTGTTCCTCAGGTCATCGCGGTCTGGATGGGCTTCCTGGTCCTGTTGGTTTCATTGGACCCTGTGTACCTGGAGATCCTGGACCTGAAGGAGAACCAGGCGTGAGGGGCGTCATCGGATTCACAGGTGACACACCTGAGTCGAGTTTATGTTTAGGAGAGAGGCCACCATCTCTCAGGCTGACAGGTGTCTGGTCTTTCAGGGATCCGGGGCCTAAAGGGTGAGCAGGGGGATCCTGGGCTGCCGGGCGTTGGAGCTCTGGGGCCTCAGGGGCCATACGGGAACCCAGGGTTTGATGGAACTCCTGGACCGGTAGGAGCTGTTGGACAAAAGGGTCTGAGAGGAACCGATGGGGAGCCAGGGAGCCCAGGTATTATATTCACTGTCAGTCAATAAAAACTAAGCAATAATTGATAATCAATAATGATCTAATTAGTGGTTCAAGGCTTATTCCACAGTCACATCAACATATGTGTGTGTGTGTTTCAGGAGTCAGAGGGAACCAGGGCCCCCCAGGTCCATTTGGGAGACCAGGGGCCGATGGGAAACCAGGGGAGCCCGGACAACCAGGACCGAAAGGTTTCACCGATCAATCAATCAATCAGTTGGTTTTCAATCAGTGACTGTAATGATCTCTGACTCTCTGCTGTCGTCTCTCAGGTAACATGGGGGCAAAAGGACTCGGAGGTTCTCGGGGGCCCACGGGACTGCAGGGGGACCGAGGAGAGCCTGGACCGAAAGGAATCCAGACGGACGTCATGATGTACGGTGATCCTGGAGACCCCGGATTCATCGGTACCTGTTCTGTTTCTGTTCTGTTCTGCTAGTGCTGTGTTTTGTTCTGAACTACTTGGTGTTGTTCTGTTCTGTTCTGTATGAGTGTCGTGGAACTCTATTTAGTTTAAAATCAGTGTCAGTCTTTCATCCTCATCGAACGTCCTCGGTGTTCCTCAGGGTTCTACTCTGGATCCTCTTGTACTGTTATTTATTCTAACAGCTGTCAGCGCCTCTAAAGCTGACTGGTGCAACACATCACATCTGTTTTAATCAGTAAAGAAACAAAGTGTAGAATGACCTGTTGTGGATTCACCTGACTGTCTGCCTACTTCAGGTGCTAAAGGTGTCACCGGTTGTAAAGGTGAGATAGGCCTCCCGGGGCTCCGAGGCCCAGACGGCAGCGACGGCAAACTTGGAAACTCCGGACCACGAGGTGAGTACAGCTGACTGTTAGCTGCTGAAGTTATCCAGAAAAATCCTGGTTTTAATCGAGATTATAAAGTTAGAAGAAGAAACATTTCTTAAATTATTTATTATTAAAAAATGAAATAACTGAAATCAATGTGTCCCATGTTTTTACAAGTGTGCACAGATGTTGCCAACGCTGAGAAAAAATGGAAGCTCCACAACTCCAGATTTACATTTTTACAGTCTTTACTTTTTCACATCGATGTTTCCTCGTCTAAGCAGTCTGAAGTTGTCCAGAATGATTTGAACATGGCCAAAGGGACGAATAATGTGTAAAATTGACTCAAGGAGTCCATAATAACTTGAAAACTGTCCAAAGTTACATTAAATTAGTTCAAAATGACTGAAAAGTTGTTGAAAACGACCGTTTGTGGGTCTTTATGGACTATTTTTGGTCCAGTTTTGAGTCTCTGCTCATCTGTAGAAAGATGTTCCACCATCAGCTGGATGTATCTCCAACAACTGGCTCCTCTGTTCACTGTTTTTGATCCATGCTGCATTTATTTATTGATCCAGTAAGTTTGATTTTCTTCTCAGACTCTCTGTGGAAACACTGGCTGCAGTTCAACCTGAAAGTTTTCCGCTGTTGCTCACAGTTGAGCCCGTTGTGGAGAATCAGTCCGCTAAGGAGTGAAGGATTTTTTATTTTGTACAGAATCTGATGCAAAGTCTGTAATTTTGGTGAATTTTAAAGTGACATATGTGGAGTGAAAAGATTTTAATGCAGTATAGTTTAGATTTGGTTAATTGTCCTGATGGAACTGCACACATGGTGCGTTCAAGGACCATCGCAAATTTGAAAATCCAATGATTCCTTCTGTTTTTACACTTTCTGGCTGAGAAATGGTGTCGTTCTGGTTACTACTTTGGTTTTTAGGCATTTAAAACCTGCATTTCAGTCGGTTAAGAAGACAAAATGGGAATTAAAAATAAACAGAACAATAAAAAAATTGATGGTGATTCTCTGTTTGTGTTTGTCAGGGCTTCCTGGAGACCCGGGTAGAGATGGAGCAAGAGGTCTTCCTGGTCCCGCTGGACCCCCTGGTAACCCAGGACCGCTGGGGATGCCAGGTAACGTCCCACCTGTAACTACATACACTCACATGGTATTAAAACACCAGCTTAAATTGAATCAGGCACTCAAGCACCACAGAAGTGTGAAAAGAGCGACTTCAGCTCTGTATTCTCTTCTAACATCAATATGAACTCCGGCTCTCTAAGATCTTTATTCAAAAAGTTTCATCTGGTTTAGAATAGTCCAGATTTGGAGGTCAGGATCAGGTCATCTTTCTTCTTCTCGTACCACTTCTTAAAAGCAGCATCGGATTGTACCAACCGGATACAAATAGAAATCTGAAAACAAATATTCACATATTATTGTGTTTTAAATCATAAAAAGGCTGAAAATCCAACTCACAGTTTTAGATTTTAGGATTTAGTGTTTTTGGACTACAGGTATCTCAGTCCTACTAAATAGTTTTGACACAGTGAAGGTTTGATCCAGATCAAATTATGTCAAATAATCTGTGTTGTTGTTGTTGTTGTTGTTGTTTTCAACCACCTGTTTCCAAGATTCGGTTCAACCTGCTGTTTCTCTGCAGGGTGTAAAGGTGAGAAAGGCTGTTTAGGACCTTGTGGGATTCCTGGTTCAGATGGAAAACCAGGAATAGATGGGCCTAAAGGTTCTAAAGGAGTACCAAGTCCACCTGGACCAGGACCGAAGGGATGTCCAGGAACGAAGGTATCACACGTGACTAAACCCTAACTCTTGCTATCGGGGGTTCAAGGTGCTGGATTATGACCACAATGATAATTTGTCCAGCCTTTAAATGATCTTCACCTAAATTAGAGCATCTCCTCAAGACAAAATATAAAGACTGTACCAAAAACAACTCAAACTGAACATGTAGTAATCAATAGTCATTACAATTTACAGATGTTCCCTAAACACCTCACATGCATCACCGCTAGGCAGCTGTGCACCAAGAAGCCTCTAGTCTCCATCAGTTACAGCTCAGACATCGAGCCCAAAAATAAATTTGAACAGATTGTAGTCCAGCAGTCTAATGTCAGATTTACCAAACGTAAGCGACGCTCCATGCTATCTGGGCAGCTACGTACAAAGAAGCCTCTAGTCTCCATCAATTACAGCTGAAACGGCTGCGAAACCAGTTTCAGTTTTAATGAAGTGAAATACTGTAATGTCAGATTTACCATTTGCAAGTGAGAATAAGTGCTAGCTAGGCGGCGTTGCACCGGGAAGCCTCTAGTCTCCACTCAGGTGCTGCAGCAGCTTAGACACCTGTGAGCACAAAAACGAAACAGAAATATGAGGTCTAATGTCATGTTGCGGTTCTCTATGGGCAGAACATTTGAAACATCACTGTCACAGTCAGTCATGTTCTTTTAACTGTGGAAAACCAAGGTTGTGATTGATATTCAGTTAATTGTAAAGCCGTAATAATGATGCACGATGTGCTATTGGTC